TCCTGGGGAGACAGAATAACCTTAGGAGAGGTATTATTTTTGATTAGGAAAGTCTTAAGCCGGCTGTGCTGGGACGCTGCCTCCGCAAGAGCCTGCAGAGAAGGGGGCCGCGGTCGTTTTGGAGGGTCAGAGCCCCCATGTAATCTCCGGTAGGTGTTAAGTAGGGGAGGCCAGGATCACCCAACGGGAAGAGCAGGAGCCCATCCTGGGTCTGCCGCCCCACCCCCTGCCGTGCCCACATTCTTGGTCACCCCTGCGCACCTGTTCTGCAGCGGTCACCACTGGATGGAGGCGGGGAAGGCCGCCTCTTCCTGTGCACCCCCACCCAGCTGTGTTCATCAGTGAGTCAAGGAGCTGTTGTGTCTCACACTGTGACAGAGTGCGGGGACCCTAAGATTTCTGTACACCCTCCAAGCAGAAGAAAAACCTTTGCTTTATGGAACATGTGCATTTCAGCAAAGTTGACTACAAAGCAGACCTCCAAAAAGCAAATCCTATTTGCGGATTTCCACGATAAAATCAGACGTGGTCCCATTGAGAAAACAGATTTGCGAGCTTTTCTGAAAGACTCTCGGAAAGAAGGGATTCTCAGGCCATTTTCTCTCCATTTCCTCACCCTTGGCCTTAGAATACCTTGGTTTTGTTCTCTGAGAGCATAAAACGCGCCTGAACTCCATCTCTTCCTTCCTGCTGGTCCTTTGCAGTTCCTGAGAGAAGTGGCTTGGAGATAATGAGCTGCCAGCAGGGGCACTGCCTGTCCTGCGCAGGCAGCCCGCTCAGCCCCCGGCGACCCGTGCACACAGTCCCTGCTGCTCCCTTCAGGTCAGCCTCCTCTGCGAAAACTGACCCAGACCTGGGAGAGAACCCTCGGCTCTGAAGCGGCAGGAGGCTGAAAAGTTGGGAACTGCTCTGAGGATCTGCCTCCAGAGCTCGCACCCCACTGGGTCTGGCTGCCTGGTCGGATGGCACCGGGCCTAGAATTCCGCCAGTGAGGCATTCACTGTTTAGCACTCAGAGCCCAGACGAGTCTCCAGCTCCTCATCTGAGCGATGATGAGGTTGGATCAGATCAGCATTTCTCACTGTGTGGTCCTAAGACCCCCTGAATCAGAATCCCCCAGTGGCTTGTGACTGCGGACTTCTAGGCCACAGGTGGAACTTCAGTAATTAGACTCTCAAAAGGGTGGAGCCGGGGAAGTCCCAAGTTTGGCCGCCTCCCCAGATGATTCCGGTGTGGCGTGAGGACCACCGGTCTCAGGTCAGACTGTTCATTCTGTGTGTTTATTCATACCTTGGGCAGATTTAGTCCAATCGCCTGTTTTTCCTAACTCCCTCACTGAGGTCTGCCGGAACAGGGGATGGGAATTTGGGGCATGCAATTCCAGAGCTGGAACCTCAGTGGTGGTGGGGCAGGGCTTGGCTGAGGGACGGGGGTGTGCAGTTGGTAGATGAACCTTTCCTTTGGTCCCAGGATGGCCCTGCCTCTCCCATCCGGGATAGCACTGTCCCGGGAGGGCCGTAGGTGGGACTGGCTTTTGTGAGCTGCCCCGGCACTGTACCCCTGGGGTGAACAGGGCTCCTAGGGACAGCTCTCTGTTAGTTCCTAACAGGTGAATTTCAAGGTGGACTCCTGAACAGTCTTTAGGAACCTGGGCTGTCCTTGAACATGGCAGGGGTGAGGTTGGGAGAGGCTGGTCAATGACAGGGCAAGGATTCCTGCCCTGTGCTCCAGGCCAAATTTCCTTTCTGCAGCACTCAGTCTTCAGACTGTGCAGGACTATCTTTCCGTAGGAGCTCGAACAGACCCCCGTGGGGGGGCCGAAGGGAAGATCCCGAGCTGGGTGGGGCAGCCTGGGCATGGCCGCTGTGAGGCAGCGTTCACCTGCAGGCATCGTTGGCCTTTATCCCCAGCACAGCTGGCACTCAGAATAGCTCTGAGTCCCCTAAAGTACGAGGCTCGTTTATCCCAACGTGGCCCTTGTTTGTCAAAACAGGTCTCTTGGGGCTGACATGCTCTAGAGAGCAGTCAAAAGGTAAGAGATGACATTTACAAAAACCCATTCTTTCCTCTGCGCTCCACTGCTCTATTGACTGTTTTCTTGTTCAGTCAAACCCTATTTACAGCTGTACATCCCATTTTAGGAGCTGTCATGGCGATAAACATCCTGTCTGTTCTTCGCTGCGCTTGCTGCCGCCGCCTTCCCTTCTCGATCCTGGAGGGCCGGGGGCCTCTCTGGCTGGGTCCCTCCTGTCTCGGAGTCTCCATTTGGTTCCCAGCACATGGGACAAGCCAATTGCTTTTTCCCCTTGTCCTTCTCTCAGTTTCCCCTCCAGATTAGCTGTGCTGCTAAGAGAACTGTGAGAGCTGTGAGAACCAGCTGGGAACGGTGGCCAGGTCGGCCCTGCTCGGAAGCCATGACCTCCTCCATTTTCCTCTGTGTCATGGCTCTGACCTCTTGAGGCTCCGTGGGCAGGCAGCCCGGGAGCTGCACAGGACACCCAGGGCAGTGGAAATGGGACAGAAGTCCACATGGTCAGATTCCCCATCGATTGCTTACCTACTGCAATGACACTGGCTTTGTTTCTCTTGTTCATTCCCTCGTTCTTGTTTATGAAACATTTTGTGACTAATACTGCGTGCAAGCACCGTGCTGGACTGGGGAACACAGCGGGGACATCAGGGCCTGACCACCGAGGGTAAGAGCCTGTGTTTCCTGACCGCCATCTTGACTGCTGTTCAACAACAGTGCATCCCGTCCTTAGTGGATACATTTACCTTTGCCTCTAGCTGGTCTAGAGCAAATGTGCTTTTGGGTGATTTCATTCCTTCAACAGTCAGTGGGTTTTGGAGTCCAGGTGATTCACGCATGTACTGGCCCGACCTGGTGGACAGTTTGTAAGCCGGGCCCCTGTCGAGAAAGGGTTCTGTGGAGCCGGCTCAGCCCAGGGGCATCGATTCTTGCAGCGCGCCCTCCCCTCTCCCTCGCTCTCCATCTCCATGATGAGCACCCCCATTTACTGAAGGCTCAGTATGTGCCAGGCACTGATACAGTCCTGTTTCCTCTTACTGGATCCTTACAACAATCCTGTGACGCTGACCGTTTTAGTATTCTCATCTCAGAGCTGGGGAGACGGAGGCCCTGGGCCTCACAGCCAGCCAGAGGAGAGCGCGGACTGAAACTGAGTGCGCCTGCGCCATGGGGCGCGCGGCCTGGGGGGCGGAGCCGGACGCCTTCGGGCGCGTTTCTCCGTGGGCCGGCCCCTGCTCTTTGAGAACATGCACTGGGACGACTTCTGCGGCTCAGCAGCACCTGGGCCCTGCCCTCGCAGGTTGTTCCTCTTGGGTGGGACACAGGGTTCGCTGCACTTGGTCTGGGTCCTTCCCTTGCTGGGTGGTTCCTCCAGAAGAAGGGGCAAGTGAGGCCCCACTGCATGGTGGGAACTGCTCGGGGAGCTGGCATGGCCGAGGCTTGGTCCTATTTACTGGCTGGAAAACAAAGTCCAGGCCGCCCAGGGGTTCCTGGGGACAAGTGTCAGGAAGTGCTTCACCCAGCTGCGTGCCTGTGGCTGGAGACCTCACTGTCCTTCCCTTGAGATTCTGGGCAGGAGCTGGATGAAGGCGGGGCAAGTTCTGGAGCCAGTGGCCTGGGGTGGGACCTGAGTGGGGACAGCCTGTGCTCTAGTCCCGTTACATAACGGCGTCATTGTTGAGCAGGCGTTCATGAGCAAGGGGGGAAGCCTTATCTATGTTTTGTCTGCAGGGACACAGAGGCTGGATAGACCCAGTGACTTGGTCATTAGTAGGGCCATCCTTTACCGGAATGAACTCAGGTCTGTCAGATTCTTTTGCTAGACCACTGCTCACAGCTGCTAATGGCCCTCTAGGAGACCACCTGGCATCCCCCAGGCAGGGGAGGAGCCCGGGGTGTCCAGGGACACAGACTCAGTGAGACCTGGCACCTGCTCTGTGGGGGAGGCTGCGCCACTGTCTTGATCTGTCCGCAGCAACTACTTCGGGACCCGGGTGTCAGTTGGCTTGACAGTGCTTACCTAGCCTCATGCTTGTACCGCCTGTCTCTGGCCTCCCTTATCTGGGCCTCCCTTCCGCGGCTGAGGCATGTGATGCTGCAGGACTGGCCCAGTGCCTGGGCACAGGTGCTGCTTGCCCCGTCAGGCACGGAGAGCTGCAGACCTGTGCCCGCTAGTGGACCTGCCGCCCGTGCTGTGTGGGTACGGCCTCCCCAGGGGCTGCCCTAGAAGTGCAGGCGAGCTAGAGCCCCAGGGAGTGAACTTGACTCATGAAAGAGAGCAGATGGGAAAGATCTGGCTGATGAATTCTTGATTTCTCACCTGGTGGGCTATTCTGAGGTGTGGTATTTCCATCAGTCTTCCCAGAGAAGTCTGTCATGGCCCAGGTTATGTTCTGGAAGATGGTGGCCAGGTCAGCAACCTGCATGTGTTTTCCCTCATCCCGCCACGCATGCTCCGTTTTTCTGTAGTCTTACATCATTTGGACTGAAACTGCCTGGCTCGACGACTGTTGGGATGCAGGATGTGCCCAGAGCTTTGTGCTCTAGGTAGTACAGGTTAAGCCAACAATAAATAACAGTAGTGCTAATAGTTCCTTCATTTAGCGAGAGTTTAGGGTCTGGCAGCTGCATCAGCTCATTGAATCTTTACACTATCCCTATTAAGCAGGTAGTGTGCTATTATTATCTTTAGTATCCTTATTTTAAAGATGAGGAAACGAAGGATCAGAGAAGTTAAGGAACATACAGGCTAGTGGCCGCACAGTGCGCAAGTGGCAGTGACGACGGAACCCAGCTCTTCTGTTCTTCCAACTCCACAACCCAAACTCTGTAAACTACCCTTGAATAAAGTCACCTTTCACTGTTAGAAATACCAACAAAACCTGAGTCTCTGCAAAGAGCTACCTGTAAGAGACTCTCAGAGACTCATGGGAAGCCCGTGGTGACCCCCGGGGAGCCCTGGGATACTCACGTTGTAAACGCTGGGTTGTACTTTGCACCTCGGTAGTAGGAGTACAGATTGAACATCCCAATCATGAAGGCCACAAATACCATGATGAAGATGACCATGAACTTGAAGATATCTTTCACGGTTCTCCCCAGGGAGATCTGCAAGGGCCCAAAACTCTCGTTGGCTGGCAGGATGTATGCAATTCGGGAGAAGCTCAGCACAACAGCTATTGCATACAGCCCTTCTGATATGATCTGAGGGTCTGAAGGCCACCACTTGTCCCTGGCTAAAAGAAAACAATCTGGGTTACTCACTGGAGACAGGATATGTATGCTTCAGAGGAGAAACCAGTTAAGTCATCCTTGGAGGTCACTGACCTCATCACACGCCATTCCTGCTCTTGTCTTTAAATTAATCCCAACATGCCGAAAGTGCCACCATCCCTCTTGGTATGTGCTGGACCATCTGCCTGGAGCATCCTTCCCTCACTCCAAATTCCACTTCATTCCAGATCATTCTTCAAGACTCTGCTCAGCCGCCATCAATTTCAGGAGCCTCCTATGACCCACTGTGGGCAGAAGCAGCCTCCCTAACCCTCTCTGTGCTCCCACTGTCTTGTGTATACCCTCTGTTGTACGCTAACTGAGCTGCCTGCTATTGGGTGTGAGCTCCACCAGCAGGGGCTGGTCCATGTCCGAGCTGGTGGAGGGGAGGAGCCTGGGCTTGGAGTCAGATAGACCTGAGGTTGAGAGAGGCCTTTTGATATACTGGCTGGATGATTCTGAGCAAGTCAACTTTCTGAGCCTCATTTTTCCCTGCTTGTAAATTGAGAAATACCAACCAGGCAGAGCTGTGGTGAGGATGAAATGAAATCATATATGTAAAGTGCTTAGCTGGAAAACAAATTCCAGGCCACTCAGGGGGCCCTGGCGACAAGGGTCTAGCATACAGCAGGTGCTGATAGATGTTTGTTAAGTGGCTGAATTAAATCCTAACCACAATTCAGACTAGCTCCAAATCAGGGCAGGTGAGCTCACGCAGGGTCCAGGAATCTGAAGGATCTGGCCTGAGGAAACTTCCTGGGTTTTGCTCCTCAGTGTGTGTCTGGGAGAGTTGCTCCTTGATTGAATTAAGGCCGCCAGAGTGAGGACCAGTCATCCAAGTTTGCTACGACAGCTCTGTTGTAGGCAGGAAGAGTCCTGGGGCCTGTCCTGGCTGGGGAGAGGCTGCTTATGATTGCTGGGGAGGGGCTGAGCTGCCCCGGTGTATTCCTGCAGCCGAGCAAACCTGCACAGAGTTCCTGTGGCAGTTACAACCGTGCAAGGAGCAGCACCTCCCTCTAATGAGCTGCCAACTATGTGTGAAGATGTACAGTGCTGCTCTAATGTGGGCAGACGTTCCTCCTGGGGACGCGCGTGAGTGTGGGGTGTCTGTGGTTGTCCTGATGACTGGGTAGGAGCATTATCTCGATGCTAATATCTTGCAGCACTCCAGATAGACCCGCGCTGTGAGAACTGCCCTGCTGAAAAAGCCAGTAGTGTCCTTGTTGAGAAATGCTAAGTGAAACTTACATTTCACTTACATTGAGAAACACTGAGAAACCTCACTTAACCTTTACACTTACATTAGCTGTAATTTTCACAACAACCCTGCAGAGTAGATATTATTATTGTCATTTTATAGATTGGATTTGGGGTATGGGGTCCTTTCTAGAGCCAAGAAATGGAGAGGGCAAGGATATTACATCGCAATTGTTGGTGCCCCAGGGAAGATGGAAGAGGAAGAATTTTGTTCTTTATTTTCAAAGCTAGACTCTATTAAACAATTATAATAATAAAGGGCAGTAAGCAATCTTTAGCAAGGGAAGCCAGGCCTTCATTTGCCACAAAGTTTCATGTAGTGCATTCTAAATTACATTTGGAAATGTAATAAAATTATAGACTCTATGTTCTCATCAAGGTCATAACTCAGAAGTCTACAAAAGACAAGGAAGGAGACTAAATTATGTTTTTCCAATATATCTGTCACCCTCTATGGATAAATAACATTTGGATAACATGAAATAGGACTTAGCTTCTTCAGACAGCAAAAGGAAGTCTTTTTCCTGCCCCCTATAATTTACCATCTTAAACATCAGCTGAAATAATAAAAGGCACTCCTATAATCTATTGGGTTGGCCAAAAAGTTCATTTAGCTTTTTCCATACGGTGGTTCTACTAGTGCTTAGCTGTTTTTAACTTCATCCGAAACAATTTTGTCAGATTGTATTGTGACAGATGTCATATCAGTGTGCATTTAAAAAAACTTAACAAAATTGGTTAATTTTTGTGTGGACATTTTAATAAGGAAGATGGAAGAAAATACACATTTTTTGGCTCATTATGCTTTATTATTTCAATAAAGGTCAAAATGCAACTGAAACACAAAGAAAGATTTGTGCAGTGTATGGAGAAGGTGCTGTGATTGATCGAATGTGTCAAAGGTGGTTTGTGAAGTTTCTTGGTACTAATGACATTGTGGCCAAATAACTCTTTGCTGTGGGGCTGTCTGATGCATGGGAAGATGTTTTGCAGCACCCCTGGCCTCCACCCACCAGAAGCCAATAGTGGGAAATAGCCGACATACGCAAATTATCCAAATCAGTAGAGTTATTGGTGAAATGAAAAATGTGTCTTTTATGGAAAAAACTAAACGGACTTCTTGGCCAACCCAATATTAAGATAGATTTAGCTGTCATTGGACCCCGGTGACCAGGTCAGGACTTTTTAGTGAAAAATATTCTCCTTGGACTGGCTTGTAAGAGTTGTGATGGGTGTAAAAGCAAACAGCACTGTGATAATTCAGACGAAAGGATTTTCTTTTTGGAGCTCTTTCCATGAGAAAATGTGTCCTCATGATCTGAAAAATATCTGCCTGCTTGGTGCTGTAGAGGTTGAAGTTGACCACTGCCTGGCTGGCCACAAGAGGGAGCGCTTCCTCCACAGCTGGAGCAAAGTGACCACTGAGAGATCCAAAAGATTTCCAAGGGCACAGAGTAAACTGTGAAAGCAAGGGCAATAATGTGCAATGCTCTGGGCTGGTTGAGACCTTAATATGATCCATAAAAGGAATAGAACTGAGAAGTGGACAATACTGAAGCCTGGATCATGTCGTTAAGAGAGTTCCAATACAGTATCAAGATTTTCTTACCATCCTTGATGAACCCTGAGTAGCACAGGGGGGAAAATATACCTTTTCTTTTTTTGACGTCTGAATTTGCAAACCGATAAATGAAGAGTGGATTGGTAATATTACAACACTCTCCATTTCTCAATGAGTATTTCCCTACTACATTTAAAGGTCACATAATGTGCATAAAACAATCTACACTGAATATGGGCAGCAAATCAACTTTACCTCTAAGTGACGAGCTCTCTGCAGATCATTGCCGAACCTGCTCATGGAGAGTCTGAGGTCACAGGAGCCCGGTGGCTTTATCTAACAGGGACATCTGACGTTCAAACCCTTCGTGTGTAGCAGCTCCCATTAGTGAGTACCTATTACATGTCCAGCTCATTTACTGGTAACAACCAAACATCTACTTCTCCTACTCCTCTTTCTCTTTTCGTACAGAAAGAAACGCTCCAGGAGACTTTCCGAAACAAATCTATTTTTTTCAACACAAAATGATTCGTTTCTGATCGTCACTAATTCAGCTTGTCGTATTGCAGTGACTAGGACTTTTTTGTGGGGCGGAGGGTTATTCCTGCGTTAGCGACAGAGAGCTCATGGCCACGCCCCGGAAGTGTGCGTAGGGCGGAGGAGTACTTCGACTCACCGTAGGTGAAATATGCCACTTCCGGCGGCAGAGAGACGTTGTGAAGCGTGTCGTCTGGCACGTGGAGGTCCACGTACAGTTGCGCTTCGCTGGCCTTGAGGAAGGCCATGAACCTCGCGGTGAAGGAGGCCACGAAGATGGACAGCATCCCGAAGTCCAGAAGGTTCCACAGGTGCAGCATGTACTCTCGCGGCCCCTCCTCCCAGATTTCCTTGCATTCGGACCAAATCATCCCTGCGGGCGCATGAGAAAGTCAGGCTCGTGTTTTCAGGTTCCTTGGCAATTGGGACTACGGGGTGGGCGGGGTGGGGACCGGGGTGCAAATGTAAATAAAAACTCTGTAGCTGAGAAGGTTGATAGCTCCTAGCAAATGGAAACGTGTCTTGAAAAGCGGAGAAGCAGTCTCCTCCACTGGTAGTTTCTTGGAGGCAGTAAGAGAGAGATAGTGGCCAACTTTTATACATTTTAAGAATGGGAGGCTTCAAGAAACATCCATTTCTGAAGCAAATGTAAGGGCACTGAGGCACAGGTGGGCTTTCCGAAGGTCCTCCATGTGACCTAGAAGCCACTCCTTCCTCTATTTCTATGCCTGTTTTCGTGGAGCGTTAATTTTGAGTTACTAGGGGTTTTTTTGTTTCTCTTTTATAACTTTAAAAAATCTTTTTCTAATTTATTGGATTTAAAAAACATGTTCTTGTTGTTACGTATTAAACTATGTAGAGGCATGTAAACAAAATGGTACTGGTCTCCCCACCCCACTTCTGAGACAGCCTTGTGAGGTGGCCCAGACTGACCATTTGGTGTGTGTCCTTCCCTGCCTGCACTGTCCACTACAGTGCCCACTAACCACATGCAGCTTCTGCGCACTGCAGATGGGGCCTGTTGAATGGAGAGGTGCCGCGGAAGTGTAGAATACACACCAGATTTCAAAGACTTGGTACCAAAAAATGTAAAATATCTGAACGTTTTTTCAAACCAATCCCATGTAATACTAATAATTTGGAAATACTGAATTAAATAAAATGTTATTTGTTAGTTTTACCCATAGGTTTTTATAAGGTGGCTACTAGAGAATTCAAAATGAAGTATGTGGCGTATGATGTGCCTTGCATTGTATTTTTATTGAATAGTGCCATTTTACTTTTATCTTCACTGGTTATTGGGACAAAACTGGTTCAGGTTATAAAAGTTGACTATTACATAACATTTTGAGCACTCGGTATGTGCGGGGCACTGTTTGATATATGTGTGTATATTAGCTGTCTTCAATCTTTATCATAGTCTTAAGAAGTACCTTCTGTTACCTGTTTTACAGCTAACGTTTCATTAGGCAGAGACAGTTCTAGCACGCGCAGCAAGGTCACAGGAGCCCTGTGGTTTATCCAACAGGAGGTTAATGCGGTAAAAGAATTACTGACGGGTTGGTTCGTGGAACAGCTGCAGCTCCCTGACCGCACATTCCCAGAACGTCGGCACTGCCAGCCTCTCTTGGCACTGCCCTTGGTCCTGTGCACCGGGCACGAGACAGGTGCCCCCTGTCTCTCCCTCTGCTCCTCCTCAGCATCCTCTGCTGTTCCTCACTCTCCTCCCATCCCTTAAGGGCTGCTGCTTTCCAAAGTTTCTGCCATTTTCATTCTTCCCTCTGTCCTTGTGTAAGTTCATCTGCCACTGCAGCTTTGTCCTTCATTTCCTTGCGAATGGCCACAGGCGAATGTGTTCCTCCGGGTCTCAAACCCACGCACACCGGCAGATGAGCATCTTATAGTTCAGTGTGGCCTTTGAGGCCCCAGCTGCCTGCAGAGCTCGGAGTTAAGGATGCCGCTGGGAGCGGACATGTGGTCCGGGGAGCCGAGACCGCCCGGCTTGGTCACAGGCCCATGTCTGGTCGAATTTGAGTGAGGAGCTGATCATCTCCACCCCTCCGGGACTCTGTCCAGGGACTTTTTTAATCAGAATTTTTCGTTTTCTGATGAAAACAGTCCATCAAATACAAGGATTTGAAAATAATTTTTTTTTTTTTGAGGAGGCAAGTAATTTAAGAGCAGCTGTTTAGAGAAATTGTGGCTTTGTTTGATGAAATAGGTTCTAAGGTCTGTGTGTCTGTATGAAATTGGAATTCCCACAACAGGAAATGTCCTCAAACATTGCAAAGCTGTTTACAAGATACCCCCTCCTGTCATTGCCCCCAAACTAATTACCTCCCACCCCCAAACTAAGTCACACTTCTCAAGTTTACCCTTTCAAAATTTTTGTGGTAATTCAGTGAAGTAATACCTTCCTTAATACTGAGATTTGCTTTCATCTGTGCCTGTCTAAATAAATATTTTTAAAATATTAGAAAAACCATATCAGGCTGGAAAAAAAATGTTTGTTACTTTCCTCTACCCCCAAATTAAAATTTCTAATGTCTTAGTGGAACTATTTTAGCTGGGCACAAGCTATCACTTAAGGCTGTCACGGCTTTAATTCAGGAAGCTCTGGGTTCAAGGTCTATCTTGGGCACATACTGGGTGTGTGACCTTGTATAAGTCCCTGATTCTCTTGGAGTTTTGCAGTTATTTAAAATGTTAAAAGCTCTATGAATCAGAAATGCAAATTATTTGCAGAAAACTCACTTTGGCCAATATGGAGCTCCTCATTGGGCATTGCAAATCACTTCCTCCATGCTCAGATGCCCACATCAGTCTTCGTAGATTTGCATATTAATTCACCCAGACTAATTTAAATTATTCCAAGGCCATGAGTAAAAGCAGCATAGACCCAAGGGCTTGAGTGGCAGAAATGCTTAATGAAAAAAGAAATGTGTGAAATTAAGTACTTCAGTGAGTGAAATTAGGCCCTCTGCTTCCAAGGTGCTGAGGCTAGTTCAGCATTTATATCCGAGCTGAGACTTATGGTCTCTTGCCTCTGGCATGTCAATGAGAGGAGTGTTTAGAGCCCAGGGGGCTCTGGGGGTAAGGATGCTTGCTGGTTACTGGAGCCTCCTTCAGGCAAAATTCCCTTCAGAGTTTACCCTTTCAAAATTTGGGAAGCCTGGAGCCCAGAGAACAAAGTCCCTGATAACTGATGAGGGTGCCCGGCAGGGGAACAGGCTGGGAAATGCTGGGAAGCCTTGGGGGCGATGAGTGGCTGGAGCAGTGGCCTGCAGGCTGATGAGATGGAGCTTCACAGCTCCAAAGGTGGTTCACTCCCATCCCCGCCTCTGATGCTGTTCCTGAAGGAATCCCCCTTCAAAATTCTGGATGGGTGAGACTGAAGCATGCCTGTTCCTTGAGTGGCGTGGTCCAGTACTTCCTCTGCACTGTCCCAGGGCCTGAGGAGAGCACGCACCTTCCCTGCCTGCCGCCTTGGGGAGGGGAGGGCCTGTCTGTTCTGTCAGGCCAGCTTCTCGTCGCTGGGCCAGGGCGTGGGTGCTCTGTGAACTCAGGAGGGAGAACGTGCCTGCAAGCTTCCAGCCCTCAGCTCTGATAGCCAAACACCGCCTCAGTGGCAGGTCCTTCGTAATAGATCTCAGCCTCACACACACTCAGGATTTGTTTGTTTTCCTGGCAGGGAGATGGTTTTAATAGATTCAAAAATTTCTTAACAAAGCTCCTCATCCGTCTCCAGTTTTAGTAGTTAACAATTAGATGCCAGGCCCTGTGCCAAGTACCTTTCCAATACCAAATCTCCCTAATAGCCTGACAGGTAGCTACTGTAATTATTTCCAATTTACAGATGAAAGAACTTATGTACAGAGATGGTAAGTGTGTCATCCGAAGTCACACAGATGGTCCAAGACCCTTGTTGTCCACTGTGCTGTCACCTGCCATGCCCTTGACTGTGGTCAGGAACTGGTTCACCCACTTACCAGACGTTGCCGAGCACCGCCTCTGCGCCAGACACCATTCTGGGGATACAACCACCAAGAAGATGCTATCCCTTCCTTAGCAAGGTCAGTGCTGGAGACAGATGTTTCTAGAAACACTAGTGCTACAGGTGACAGAGAAGGTAAGGAGAAGTGTCCAGGGGACTTTTTTGGAGACACAGGGATGAGAGCCATCTGCATTGTAATGATTTGACTTAGCAAAGTGGTACAGTATGTTTCTGTTGATTGAATGAAGGCATGAATTCATGGAGGAGGTGACACTTGGTATGAGGAACTAGCATTAGCTAGGTGAAGGAGGAGGGGGCTGGCAAGGTGTTCCTGGTCATGGCAGTGGAAGCGAGGGACCTGCAAGAGGCTCAGTGTTGCTCAAGTGTCAGGGCATGGGACTTGAGATTGGAAAGATTAGCAGAGGCCCATTAGAGCATGAAGCCCCTCCCTAGTGCCCTGAGGAGGAGACTGGTTTTCACCTTGGGCAGCTAGATAGCCCCTGGAGGTGATAAGCAGGGCAGAAACATGGTTTGACTTGCTGGGAGAAAATTTGGCAAATTGGGAGGAGTAGTCTGCTTGGAAATCTTACAGAAATAAGTGAAACCCTCAGAAGAATGAGGTGAGGAATCCAGCCCATATGGTTTTACAGTTTTACTCTTGGGCCAACCTAGGTGTGTGATTCTGGAGATGAGTCTTAGCACTTGCTCTCACAGTGTTGCTAATCCTGGGTGGGTGCATGAGGGAGCAGCTCCATCCTTACGTTGTACATGTATGAACACATCTAGGGAGGCAGAGCCACCAAGGAGGAAGGGACACAGTCGGTCGGGGTTTCCTCGCACTCAGTCCCAAGTTTTTTCCTCTTCCCCAGGCCTCTAAGGATATTTCCCCCTCTATGCCAGCATGTCCATCTCATTCCATCAATTGAGCTTTCGTACTGAAGCTTCTGTTTAAGAAAACACTGCCAGGTTCTCTTTAAACCAGAGGGGTGTAGAAAGAGTCTTCATGAAATGAATCGCTTCCTAGGTGGGGAAAACACATGCATTTTGGAGAGCCTTCCGGTCTTTCAAGCCTGATGTCTTTCTAGGAACTTCTAATGTTGTCATACAGTTCTCGGATGAATGTCACTAGAACCACAATCTCCAGTTGAAAAGCTTTATTATAAGCTCTTTCAACTACCCCAGCATGGCTGCTTATGATACAGGCAAGAAAGATGGGTTCCTGTGGTGTGAACTGATGCTGGAGATCCTGCAGGCTGAAGGTTCATTTAGTCCTCCCCGAAGCAGCTCACCTGACAGCTCCCCAGAACAAATGCCTACCAGCAAATCCATCCCTCTCTCCTCAGTCATACTGCACTCTTGGCTCCCTTGGCACTGTGTTC